CTGCACCACGGAAAGGGGGGGTTCTCAGGATGTTCAGGCTGACCGGTTTTGGATACTGGCAGAGATGGTATTGGTGGAAAAGAATTTTCTCCCTTTTCCTGGTTTAGTAACCGAAGCACTGTACAGTAAGCACAGTTTGTAAAACGGATGGAGCAGCTGAAGACAGAGAAGAGCTGGAGGATGGAACAGAGGAGGGAGCAGTTGCTACAGAGGACTTCTTTACCAGGGTTAAAGAAAGGATAGGTGCAGGCGAGTGGGAGCAGCGGACTGATATGTGGTAGTTAGCAGAGTAAACTGGGCCGTCACTGGGGGTGCTGTCGGGGATGCAGGAAGAGTGCCTTGAGCGGAGGAATGACGTTGTAAGCTGACTGAGGCTGGGTGCAACATGTCTGACCATGTCTGCAGTAATGGGTTGAACAAAGCTCAGTTTACACAAAGCCTGTCTGGTCAAGGACCTGCACTACATACACATAATAGAGCACAACCAAACGTAGTCAGGCAGGTTGTGAAGCCGGGTCGATAACTATCGGGCAGTAGGTGTAGGAGGAAGCAGCAGGTGGAGAGTAGTCAGGTCACGAGCCGGGTACAGAACTAACGGACAGGTAGGTACAGGGGGTCAGGCAGAGAATGGTCGGGGTCACAAACCAGGGATCAAACAGGAGAAGTCAGCAGAGGTCAGGATCAGCCAGGCAGGGTCGGCAACAAGTCAGGCAGAAGAAACATGAACAGAATGCAGGTTTACAAGATACAGGGGCCCATGGAAAAAACACACACACCAGAGGCACAGACTGCAGGTCTGGGCCATCCCTTAAATACACCACCTGCAATCAGCCCCAGGTGATGGCTAATAGCCGAAGTGAACCTCTGGGGGGTTGGTTGGAGAGCACCTGCTGGCCAGCCCCTGGTACTGCAGCCCACAAGGCAGGTGAGTCCCACCACGATTGGCAAGTCCTCATTCCTGACAACATTCTTAAAATGGAGAGAATTCTTAGGATAAGGAGACCGCAAGGAGTATCAGCTGACTTGACTAGAGACGTGATTGTCCATCTTCCACAACTATGAGGATAGAGAAAAAATTTGGAAAAGATCAGAGAGACCCCTGAAATAAAATTATGGAGATAAAAAGATACAACTATTTGCTGACATTTCAATCTGAGACAATAGCTAGGAGGAAGATCATTGAAACCATTGCTGGAAGCAGATGAAAGAGAGAAAGATCCGATTTAGACGGGGTTCCCTGACTGCCTGATTGGTTGGAGAGATGGGAATCAGCAAGACTGAGATTCCCAGAAAAATTTCAGTGACTTTTGTAGAAAATTAGATTTACAGGAAATGGACATTGGTTGGGTGGTCAGAAGGGTCACACTGAATGTTTAGGGCCAGGGAAAACATGGCAGATGGGTAAATAAAAGGACGAAGGTAACTCGGCGTGGAGAGGGAGGGACGGAGGGGATGAAGGGAGTGATAGACATGACCCAAGGGGTGGGTGTGTTTTTTTTTTTTTTTTCCCTCTTACGCCTTTCTCCTCCTTCGCCCCGCTTCTTCACATGGTTAAGCTCTGACTTTAAATTATAGGGAGAACTAGGGGGGTTTGAGGTGCAGCAGGAACATAAGCAATATTGATAAGATAAAGGTGGCAGCCTGGAGGCTTAATGGACTGCCAAAACTCTAGAACCCCGATGTGGCAAGAGGGGGGGAGGAGTAGGCATTCACGTTTTAGAGTTCACTCCAAAATGGGAATCGCTAATGGGAAGGTCCCATGACAGATTCAAGGGGCAAAACTTAGGCCCACGGGAATTTGGGGGTGGGGGAGAGGGGATTTAAGGAAAGGTGGGAGGGGGTTGGGGAAGGATGGGTAATGGGTGTTGCTATAGATGGGAAAAGGAAGAACGTCCATATCCTAAACTGTATGCATTGGTTTTCCCTCGAAAAAAAAGTCATAGCAGACCAATGAAAATACAATAGAAATTAAGTTTGATTCATATTTTTGACATATAATGTGAAAGGGTTGAAACTTCCCGATAAAAAACATAAGACACATTAGAGAAATCCATCAATATTTCATAAGAAGTAGGTATTTCTCCAAGAAACACATTTAACCCGAGACACAAACATCAGATTATATTCAAAATTTTTTCCAGATTGGTACTATGCTGACTCATTAAAAGGAGCCAAAGGGGTGGCAATTGGGTTCTCAAAAAAGGTAAATTTTTCCCTGGAAGGTAGAATGGAAGATCCAGAGGGTCGATTCCTATTTCTCAGGGGAAAGTTACAGGGCTTGGGGAATTTACATGAGCTAATATATAATTGCCCAAACAAAAATCCAGTAATATTCCTAGAGGGGATATTAACCTCCTTGGCGGTATTCCCCCAGTGTAGCTCGGGGTAACATTATCAGTACCAAAAGCGGATAACCCCCAAAAAAGGGCTACACTCGGGAATACCATGCGGCACTGCATCCGGCAATGTGTTTTTCACTTACCTTACCCTGCGCAGCTCCCACGATGTGTCCCCTGCAGCGTCCCCGGCCATCCCTCCTCCGGCCGATGCCGGCATTAAAAACGGCTTCTGTGTCCCTGTCCCTGTTGATGTCCTGATGCTTTGGTCCGGGCCCCCTGCCTGCATTTTGTCTGTTCTTTCTGCCTGGAAACTGAGAAACGTTCCATGGCGTCCAAAAAGTGTCCCTTTTGTAGGTCAAATCGGTTTTAGACTGGCTAGAGAACAGGCGATAGTAAATCAGAGACCACGTTTGCCAGAATTGAGTGATAATGGATTCGTGAGGAAATTCCTCATCAGACACTTGAAAAGACTTTCTGCGACCTGAGCTCAGGGATAATGATTGCGAACTTGGCGCTATATTTCAAATTTCAGTGTTTTTTGGTTTGAACATTTATATTATTGAATTAAATTTTTTTTTATTTTTATATTATTTTTATGATTATACCAGACGAGGTGATATTTAAATTATAATTTATGATTTGTGTTTCAAATTTTATCATACACCGGGGGAAGTTGTTTACTAGACTCTTGTTCGGATACAGATTTCGATCGGCTTAGTGATTTTTCTATAAAAATACAGGCCTACAATTAAAAAAAGAATACATATTTCCATGCAAAAAAATGGTACCCTGCTTTCATCACACCTAAAAATCTGAAATAATCATACCGCCAGGGAGGTTAAGAGAAACTCTCGAATTTAAAAGGGGGAAGTTTGGTTGTAGCGGGAGATTTTAATATGTGTTCCTAGATCCTCGACTGGATGCATCGTCACGTGCACAGAGAGAGGAGAGGGACAGGAAATTGAAATTAAAATTGAGCAGAGAATATTATATAAGCATCAATGGTGGCGACACGTGGAGAGTTAAACATCCAAAAGAAAGAGACTATACCTTCTCTTGTGTACATGGCTTGTAGTCGAGACTGGGGACTATATAATGATAGAACAATAGACAGCTGGAATCATTAGTTAGTTCCAACATAGAGATTAATATCTATGTCTGATCATGCCCCCGTAATAACAAGATTACGAGTAGGAGGAGGGCAAGATAGAACAACTATGTGGAGATTAAATGAAGTGCTCATACAGGATCCCAAAATAGTGAAAAGGCTAAGGAGAGAACTTGAACAATTTTTTGTGTTCAATGAAACTAAAGAGGTCTCTGAGGCCTTAGTTTGGGAGACACATAAAGCATACAGTCAGGTCCATGAATATTGGGACATCGACACAATTCTAACATTTTTGGCTCTATACACCACCACAATGGATTTGAAATGAAACGAACAAGATGTGCTTTAACTGCAGACTGTCAGCTTTAATTTGAGGGTATTTACAATCCAAATCAGGTGAACGGTGTAGGAATTACAACAGTTTGCATATGTTCCTCCCTACTTGTTAAGGGACCAAAAGTAATGGACAGAATAATAATCATAAATCAAACTTTCACTTTTTAATACTTGGTTGCAAATCCTTTGCAGTCAATTACAGCCTGAAGTCTGGAACGCATAGACATCACCAGACGCTGGGTTTCATCTCTGGTGATGCTCTGCAGGCCTCTACTGCAACTGTCTTCAGTTTCTGCTTGTTCTTGGGCATTTTCCCTTCAGTTTTTTCTTCTGCAAGTGAAATGCATGCTCAATCAGATTCAGGTCAGGTGATTGACTTGGCCATTGCATAACATTCCACTTCTTTCCCTTAAAAAAACTCTTTGGTTGCTTTTGCAGTATGCTTTGGGTCATTGTCCATCTGCACTGTGAAGCGGCGTTCAATGAGTTCTGAAGCATTTGGCTGAATATGAGCAGATAATATTGCCCGAAACACTTCAGAATTTATCCTGCTGCTTTTGTCAGCAGTCACATCATCAATAAATACAAGAGAACCAGTTCCATTGGCAGCCATACATGCCCACACCATGACACTACCACCACCATGCTTCACTGATGAGGTGGTATGCTTAGGATCATGAGCAGTTCCTGTCATAAACCGCCTGGTGGTATCTCTAGCAAGGCGCGAGTCTATGTCCCAATCTGCTTGTTCGCCAGAGCCCCTGATGGTGGGGATGGACTTGGAGCAGACTGAGACCAGGTCGCAACCCCCTGAGTACGCTCGACTGTGGTAGAGGTAACCACCAGAGGTATGTAGAAGAAGAGAGCCTGACGTGAAGAGGCTAGCAGACCTGGGCAGCAGGGACTGGATTCGTGCAGGATGGATGGATGACCGTGAAGGTATAGCGTAGTCAGACAGGCCAGGTCAGCAACTAACGGGCAGGTAGCTACAGGAGGAACAGGCAGAGAGTATTCAGGTAACGAGCCAAGTTCATCAACGGGAGATTCAGTAACAAGGAGCAGACAGCAGAGTGGTCAGGACAAGCCAGGGCTCAACAGGGTCAGGATCAAAGCAGGGTCGGCAACAAAGGGTACTTCACAGAACAGAGGAGCAGGAACAGGTAATGAGACCATACGGCAATTTGCACATACCTATGGCTGGTTTAAAAAGCGCGCACCCTGCGTTGTCATTGGTGCCAGGCGCGTCCGCAATCGCGAGTGCGCATGCGCGGCCGCTTGTCAGGGCAGGAGCTGAGGAACGGACAGGCAGGCCTAACAATGTAACGCACTGGCTGACGACAACCACCACCCACAGACCGAAGTCCCTCAGGGCGCGGAGTCTAAGTCCCAGGCTGCCCTTCACCAGGGCCCCTGATGGTGGGGATGGACTTGACGCAGCCAGGAACCAGGTCGCGGCCCCCGAGACACCTCAGCTGCTGTAATGGCCGCCGCCAATGGCGTGTAGCTGGTGGAAGAGACAAGAGTAGTCAGACAAGCCGGGGTCAACAACAACAGGTCAAAACAGTACAGGACAGCAGACGAGAATCACAGGTCACGAGCCGGGTTCAGCAACAGAGGGTCAGATCAAAGGAGAATACAAAGAATAGTCAAGTCACAAGCCGAATCAGAATACCAGGAGAGTCACGAGAGTCAGAACAGAGTAATAGCAACACAAAGACACAAGACACAAGTGCAAAGAGCATGTGCGGGCCACAGGCTTATATGTCATCAGCCACACCCCTCTGGGGATGGACCACAGAAACCTGAAGGCATAAAAGGATTCCCATCATGCACAGCAGAATCCAAGATGGACGCCAGCACATGGAGTAACATAACCTCAGGGAAAAGGTAGGACCTTGACAGTACCTCCTCCTCAAGGGCCCCTCCCCCTCCGCGGCTCAACAAAAGGTTTCTGAGGAAAGCGGGTATGAAAAGCGCGGAGGAGGGCAGGAGCATGGACATCCGCGGAAGGAACCCAGGAACGCTCCTCGGGACCATAACCGCGCCAATGAACCAGGAACTGTAATCGACCGCGCGCACCAATCGAGAGTCCAGGATCCGGCTCACCTCATACTCCTCATGACCGTCAACCCGGACAGGACGGGGCCGAGGAAGAGAGGTAGTGAAGCGATTGCAGATCAGAGGTTTCAACAGGGAAACATGAAAGATATTGGAGATCCGCATCCCAGACGGAAGGGCAAGGGCATAGGCCACCGGATTCACTTTGCGGAGAATGCGGAAAGGACCGACAAAACGGGGAGCTAGTTTGGGTGTGGGCACCCGAAGATTGAGGTTGTGAGTAGACAACCACACCCGATCGCCGACGACCTGGTATGAAGGAGCGGGCAACCGTCTGCGATCAGCCTGGAACTTCTGGCGCTGAGCTGAGTCCCTCAAGGCCCTCTGGATCTGCCCCCAAGAAGAACGCAGGGCAGCAAGATGGTTCTCCACAGCCGGAATGTCCTGTGGTGAGAACCTCTCAGGTAATACCGCGGGTTGGAAACCCATAGTTGGCCATGAAGGGAGACATCCCGGTGGAGGAGTTGACCGCCGAGTTCCTGGCAAACTCTGCCCACGGCAGGAGATCGGCCCAATCGTCCTTATGGTCTGAAATATAGCACCGAAGGAATTGTTCTAAGGCCTGATTGGAACGCTCCGCAGCCCCATTGGACTGCGGGTGGTAGGCTGAAGAAAAGGAGAGACTAATACCCAACTGGGAGCAGAAGGCGCGCCAGAATCTGGACACGAACTGACTCCCCGCGGTCTGAGACAATCACCTTAGGTAACCCATGCAGGCGAAAAATCTCCCTGGAAAAGACCGTGGCCAGTTCTTGCGCTGTGGGTAATTTCCTGAGTGGAATGCAATGGCACATCTTGGAAAACCGATCGACGATCATGAGGATGACCGTATGACCCCGAGACACCGGGAGGTCTACAATAAAGTCCATCCCTAGATGTGACCAAGGACGCTCCCCATTGGGAATGGGTTGCAGAAGACCCAAAGGGAGATGTCGTGGAGACTTATTCTGGGCACAGATCGAACATGCCGCTACATAAGAGGCAATGTCGGCACAGAGGGTTGGCCACCAGAATAAGCGAGAGACGACCCAACACAGCTGGTTCTTCCCCGGATGCCCGGCAGTTTTGGCGTTATGGTAGGTACGCAGCAGGCGGGTGCGCAATCCCTCGGGTACAAAACATCTACCCTCCGGCTTCCCGGGAGGAGCATCAGTTTGAGCCGCCAAAATCTGCTCCCCAAGGGGAGAGGTCAGACTGGTGCGAATGGCAGCCAGGATCTGATCTGGAGGTATAAGTGAGATTGGCTCAGAGTCCTCCCTGGACAACTCAGAGTATTGCCGTGATAACGCATCAGCCCTGACATTCTTGGAACCAGGCAAATATGAAACCACATAGTTGAAGCGTGACAAGAACAGAGCCCATCTGGCCTGGCGGGGTGTCAATCTCTTGGCCTCCGAAAGATAAGTCAGGTTCTTGTGATCGGTAAGAATGAGGACCGGAACCGCGGAATCCTCGAGCAGGTGCCTCCATTCCTTGAGAGCCAGAATGATGATGCCAACAACTCCCGATCTCCAATCTGGTAGTTGCACTCAGCCGAGGAAAGCTTCCTGGAGTAGAACCCGCAGGGAAGTAGGGGTCCATCGGGCGACCGACGCTGAGACAGGAGAGCCCCTACTCCCGTCTCGGAAGCATCAACTTCGAGGACGAAGGGCAACCCAGGATTGGGATGCGAAAGAATTGGAGCCGAAGCAAAGGCAGCTTTCAGAGCCTCGAAAGCTATGATGGCCTCGGATGGCCACTCGTGAGGGTTACTCCCCTTCTTGGTTAGGTCAGAGAGAGGCTTTGCCAATGTGGAGAAGTTCCTGATGAACTTCCGATAGTAGTTGGCAAAACCCAGAAAGCTCTGAATGGGCCGAAGACCATTGGGACGAGGCCACTGCAGAACCGCCGCAACCTTCTGAGGGTCCATGGAAAATCCCTCCGCGGAAATTATGTAGCCCAAAAAGGCAACCTGGATTGATGGAACTCGCACTTCTCGAGTTTACAAAAGAGTCCGTTCTCACGCAATCGTTGCAGCACCTGCTTGACATCCTGGACATGGGACTCCATGGAGGTAGAGTAAACCAAGATGTCATCCAGGTAAACCACTACGCACTGCTGCAACAAATCACGAAGGACATCGTTTATGAATTCCTGAAAAACCGCGGGCGCGTTACACAATCCGAAGGGCATCACCAGGTATTCGTAGTGCCCAGTTCTGGTGTTAAACGCGGTCTTCCACTCATCCCCCTGTCTGATCCGTACGAGGTTGTACGCCGCCCTAAGGTCGAGTTTGGTAAAGACTGTTGCTCCCTTAAGGCGGTCGAACAACTCAGAAATCAAAGGAATTGGATATGCATTTTTAATGGTAATCCGATTGAGACCCCTATAATCGATGCAGGGCCTCAATTCCCCACCTTTCTTCTTTACGAAAAAAAAACCCGCTCCTGCTGGGGAAGTAGACTTACGAATGTGCCCCCGGGAAAGCGCATCCACAACGTACTCCTCCATGGCCTTATTCTCCGCAACCGAGAGAGGGTACACCCTGCCACGTGGAGGAGTGGCCCCGGGTTGCAAGGATATGGCGCAGTCGTAAGGACGATGCGGTGGTAAGGTACCAGCGCGTACCTTATCGAACACGTCCCGGTACTCCCCATAGTCGGTGGGCAACGCAGAGTCCGAGGAGGCACACAATACCTTAACCGGCCCCCGGATGCACCCGGCCCCACACTGTGGAGACCATGAGAGAATCTCGGCTGTTTGCCAATTGAAGGTTGGATTGTGCCTCTGGAGCCAGGGATACCCCAAAACCACTGAATAGTGTGGGGAAGAAATCACCTGAAAACAGGCCAACTCCCTGTGAACAGCCCCAATGGCTACCTCTATTGGCAGAGTCTCGTGGGTAACCTGCGGCGGTTGCAGGGGCCTGCCATCTATTGCTTCGAGAACCAATGGGGCAGCACGAGCCTGCAGGGGAATGGAGTGCTGCGCAGCAAACGAGCTGTCCAAGAACAACCCACCGGCCCCAGAGTCTACCAACGCCTGGGCCGTCACCGAGCCCCCCGTCCAAGAAAGGACCACGGTGATCAGTGGCTTATCCTTGCGGAACGCCGGGGACGAGGAAACTCCACCCAAGATCTGTCCCCGACATGATCTCAGGTGCGAGCGTTTCCCGGACGGACCGGACAAGACTGCCGAAAGTGCCCACCGAGGCCACAGTACAGGCAGCGACCCTCCCGACGCCGAGCGACCCGCTCCCCCTCGGAAAGGCGAGCAAACCCCAGCTGCATGGGTTCCCCACCAGACAAGCTATCCCCAGGAAGCGTGGGAGGAGAGGGAGGAACGGGTGGGACAGAAAACGCAGGTGCCAGTCGATTGGAAGGCCTCCGTAGGCGTTCCTTGAGTGAAGGCCTCTCCCTGAGCCTGGTGTCAATCAGGATCAGGAAAGAGATGAGCTCCTCCAACACCACAGGCAGTTCCTTAGCTGCAATCTGGTCCTTCAATGTGTCAGAAAGGCCATGGGAAAACGCAGCCACCAGAGCCTCATTGTTCCAACCGACCTCTGCCGCCAGGGTACGAAACTCTATAGCGTACTCGGCCACGGTCCGTGAACCCTGATGCATGGTCATGAGCAGCTTGGCCGCCGAGGCGGAACGAGCCGGTACGTCGAATACCCTACGGAAGGCATCGACAAAACTGGAAAAATCTTGAATCACCGGGTCGTTCCTCTCCCATAAGGGATTTGCCAAGGCCTTGTCTGAGAGTAGTGAAATTAGGAACCCCACCTTTGACCTCTCAGACGGAAAGGCGTGAGGTATTATTTCAAAATAAATACCCACCTGGTTGAGGAACCCACGACACTGACTCGGCTCACCCCCAAAGCGCTGTGGAAGAGGGGCAGAACCAGTCATACCTCTGGGCGCCGCTGATGCAGCCGTCGAGGTGGTGGACGCAATAGGCGGAGAAGCAGCGGGAGAGACCACCGGAGCGACTACCGGCCTAATAGCACCAGGAGCAAGGTGTGCAGTGCGTGCAAGCAGAGTTTGCAACGCCTGAGCGAACTGATCAAACAGGTGATCCTGTTGATCGAATCTGGCGACTAGCATTGGGAGCGAAGGCGTGCCTGCACCGTCAGGGTTCATGGCACTTGTGTAATGTCAGGGCAGGAGCTGAGGAACGGACAGGCAGGCCTAACAATGTAACGCACTGGCTGACGACAACCACCACCCACAGACCGAAGTCCCTCAGGGCGCGGAGTCTAAGTCCCAGGCTGCCCTTCACCAGGGCCCCTGATGGTAGGGATGGACTTGACGCAGCCAGGAACCAGGTCGCGGCCCCCGAGACACCTCAGCTGCTGTAATGGCCGCCGCCAATGGCGTGTAGCTGGTGGAAGAGACAAAAGAGTAGTCAGACAAGCCGGAGTCAACAACAACAGGACAAAATAGTACAGGACAGCAGACGAGAATCACAGGTCACGAGCCGGGTTCAGCAACAGAGGGTCAGATCAAAGGAGAATACAAAGAATAGTCAAGTCACAAGCCGAATCAGAATACCAGGAGAGTCACGAGAGTCAGAACAGAATAATAGCAACACAAAGACACAAGACACAAGTGCAAAGAGCATGTGCGGGCCACAGGCTTATATGTCATCAGCCACACCCCTCTGGGGGATGGACCACAGAAACCTGAAGGCATAAAAGGATTCCCATCATGCACAGCAGAATCTAAGATGGACGCCAGCACATGGAGTAACATAACCTCAGGGAAAAGGTAGGACCTTGACACCGCTGCCGTGGTTGACCATGTCCTAGTGCCTGCCGGTTAACACGCATCGGCGTTCTGCACATGCGCCGTCCCGTGAGCCCTGGACTTCCTTACATTGCCCCCCCCCCCCTACGGGCAGCCGCCGGATGCCCAACTAATCTCTCCTCTGTGGGTGGTTGCGAAAAAATTCCTGGATCAACCTAGGAGCGTGGACATTTTGGGCTGGTTCCCACAAATTTTCCTCTGGACTATAACCTTTCCACTTAATGAGAATTGTGTCTGACCTCCCCTTTTCCTACAGTCCAAGATTGCCTCAACTTCAAATTCCTCGTCAGTGTCTATGGCTTCTGGGGGTCTGGACTACGGTCCGGGAAGGGATCCGGTGTTGCGGGTTTTAGTAAGGATACATGAAAAACCGGGTGTATCCTAAAGGATTCGGGAAGTGTGAGCTCATAAGCCACTTCATTAATCTTCCGCTTTACCCGGAATGGCCCCATGAACTTTGGTCTCAGCTTCCTTGATGGGCATGACATCTTTAGATTAGTTGTAGCTAACCAGACCTGGTCCCCAGGGTGCAGAATGAGTTCACCTCTTCTCCTCTTGTCAAAAGCCCTCTTATTATCATCCTGGGCTTTAGCAAGTGCTTCCTGTAGTACCTTGTTGTTAGAAGAGAAAAAGCTTAGCATATCTTGTGTAGCAGAAACCGTACTTTCTGGGATCAGGTCAGGCAGAAACATAGGATGGAACCCGTAATTAGCGAAAAACGGGGATTGTTGGGTAGCGGAATGACTGGCATTGTTATATGCGAATTAGGCTAAAGGCAGGAGTGTCAGCCAATCATCCTGGAGAAAGGGAGTGTAGCACATGAGATACTGTTCTAACGTTTGGTTCGTTCGGTCTGCCCATTGGTCTGTGGGTGGTATGCGGATGAAAAAGAAAGTTTGATTCTAGAATTTCACATAGAGCTCTCCAAAACTTTGAATTGAACTGGACCACTCTATCAGAGACGATATCTTTCGGAATCCCATGAAGTCTTACTGTCGGGGATCACCGCCACGATGGGCTCGGCGCAGGCGCAGTGCACCGCCCTGTGGTGGAATGCGGGCACTGAGACCTGGCCGACCGCGGCGAGTGAGTTTGCGCATGCGCAGTAGGGACCACGGGCGTGCGCGTGGCACCAATGACAGCGCAGGGCGGGATATTTAAATGGCCCTGAGCTGTCATTCAGTGCCTTCTGGTCTTACCTGTATCCTGCGAACCTGTACCTAGTAAGTTATTGACCCGGATTGTTCTTGACCTGCTGATTTCTCCTGCCCACACCCTTGCTTTGCCTGACCTCTCTCCTGAATGCCCCCCATTAGTGTTGCTGACCTGGCGTGTGACCCGACTATTCTCTGCCCACTGCCTTGTACCGTACCGTCCTCTCTGTTACCGACTCGGCCTGTCTGACTTAGCACTTGCTCAGCCATCCATCCATCCATCCTCTCCAGTGGGGTCTTCAGACCTCCTCATACCAGGCTCTCTCCCGTGGGAGCCCTCGGCGCATACCACTACCACTGACGGGTATACCCAGTAGCCACGACCTGGTCTTGGGGGGCTCCAAGTCCATCCCCACCATCAGGGGCCCTGGTGAACAAGCACCCCGGGACTTAGATTCCTTGCACTGGGGACGCCTATTCAGTGGAGTGCTAGTGGTGTCGCCGGGCGGTCCTTTACACTTACAACCTCCTTCACAAAGATTTGCGCCGTCTCGACGGAAGCCGAAGGCGTGTTCTTTAATGGGCCATTTTAGACAGGCGATCCACAATCACAAAGATTACAGTGTGGTCTTGTGAAGTTGGGAGCTCCACTATAAAGTCTATTGAGATCATTTTCCACCTGTCGGGTATTGGTAAGGTTCGTAACAGACCCCAGGCCTTGTTTCTGGTGGGCTTGTTTCTTTGACAAATTGCACAGGTCTTAACGTATAATTCACAATCTTTGGCCATATTTGGACACCAGAACGTGCGCTGTAGTAGTTCTAAAGTTTTCCCTATTCCAAAATGGCCTGCCAGCGGATGATAGTGGCAGTAGCCCAGAACCACGGTAAGGGCTTCCTCGGGGACTACGATCTGTCCCTCCTTCCACAAAAGTCCCTCCTTGCTCTGCAAGGAAACCCCCGATAGTTTTGGCATTCCAACGGATGCGGTTTGTCTCTTGGAACGTAGTTCAGATTGTAGGGCAAGAAAGTTTCCTGCAGACAGAATGGTGTCTGTCTGTTATGAACGTCTTCAGGGTCTTCAAACATGCGCGAAAGCGCATCAGGCTTTGTGTTCTTCGATCCAGGTCTGTAGGTTATGTGGAACACGAACCTTGAAAAAAAAAGTGCACATCTGGCCTGACGTGGTCTCAGGCGCTTGGCTGTCCTCAAATACTTCAAGTTTTTGTGGTCTGTAAAAATTAAGATCGGGTGCGTGGCCGCCTCCAGCAGGTATCTCCACTCCTCCAGTGCTGTCTTGATGGCCAGGAGTTCCCGATCTCCAATATCGTAATTCCTCTCTGCCGATGTGAGTTTCCTAGAGAAAAAAGCCACCGGGTGCAAGAGTTCCTTGATGCCCTTCCTTTGGGATAGGACTGCCCCTACCGCGTTCTCGGATGCGTCCACCTCCAGTATATAGGGTAAGGCAGAATCTGTGTGACTTAAAATAGGGGCTTCGATAAACAGTCTCTTCAAAGACTCGAATGCCACCTGCGCCTCAGGTGTCCACCGGAAACGCACCCCCTGTTTAGTGAGTTGGGTAATAGGGGACACAAGACCCGAAAAGTTCTTAATGAACTTCCTATAGAAGTTGGCGAAGCCAATGAATCATTGAATCCCCTTTTTATCGGTGGGTACTGGCCACTCTAAGATTGCAGAGATCTTCTGGGGGTCCAAGGCAACTCCCGTAGTGGAAATGATCAGTCCTAAGAAGGAAATGCTGTGCTGTTCAAAACTGCATTTGTCTGCCTTGGCATACAACCCATGTTGGTGAAGCCGCTCCAACACGCTCCTGACATGGCCTCTATGTACCTCCAGGGATGAAGAGAAAATCAAGATGTCATCTAAATAGATGACGACAAAGATGTCTAAGAAATCTCTGAACACATTATTAACAAAATGTTGGAATGTGGCTGGTGCGTTGCACAGCCCGAAGGGCATGACCAGGTACTCAAAGTGCCCGAACCTGGTGCGGAAAGCTGTCTTCCACTCGTCTCCTTCCCTTATGCGGACTAAATTATACGCACCACTCAAATCCAACTTAGTAAAGACAGACGTCGATTTCAGCCTTTGGAATAGCTCAGGAACTAAAGGAAGCGGGTAGCGATTTTTCACCATTATTTTGTTTAGTTCCCTATAATCCATGCAGGGCCTTAGGGACTTGTCTTTCTTTTCCACAAAAAAGATTCCAGCTCGGGCTGGCGACGTGGACGGACGGATGAACCCCTTCTGGAGGTTCTCATCTATATATTCCTTTAAACCCCCAGCTCACGTTCAGATAAAGGAAATATTCACCCAAAAGGGACCTCAGAGCCCAGGAGAAGGTCGATTGGGCAGTCATAGGCTCGGTGTGGAGGAAGCCTGTCTGCTCCTTGCTTACTAAACACATCGAGGAAGCTGTGGTAGGCCGGGGGAATAACTTGAGTCAGTTCAGCGTCCGTGTCCATGCATAATAGGGACTGAGAAGCTGGGGAAGTCTTGGGACAGCAATGCTCTTGGCAGTAGGGTGACCTGAACTGAATATTGACCCTGTCTTCCAATTAATCTGGGGGGCGTGTGCCCGTAGCCAAGGGAGCCCCAGGATAATTGGAAATAGAGGGGATGCGATGGCATCCAGGTGGAGGATTTCCCGATGGTGGCCAGCCACCGCAGTGCAGATAGGTGGGGTCTCCCAGTCTACCACCCCTGACTTAATGCGGGACCCATCGGCTAGGAAAATATTCAGCCCACACTCCCTGGTCTGTAGGGGAATCTGCTGCTGAGCTGCAAAGTCTAGGTCTACAAAGCAGCTGCAAGCTCCTGAATCAACGATTGCCGTCGCTGACGCGGTCCTTCCGGGGAGCTGGAAAGAAATGGGCACGGCTAAGTAATTTGAATTATTGAGGTAGGTGGGAGATGTAGCAGAAAAAACAGAGGCACACTTACTTAGTTTTGCTGGGCAGGAGCGTACCACATGACCTGCTTCCCCGCAGTAAAGACAGAGATTGTTCAGTCAACGTCTCTGACGTTCTTCAAACGTCAATGAAGGTCGCGTTAGTCCCAATTGCATGGGTTCAGGCATGTCGGCAGTTTACGAGTTCCGATTTCCAGCAAAAGGAGACTACTGGATTGGAACACGAGGTACCACCCTTGTAGGCCTTTGACCCTGGCTGGACCTCTCCATCCTGCGTTTCCGCAATCTGCGGTCAATCTTGATGGTCAGAGAAATTAAATCTTCCAAAGTATCGGGTAAGCCCACTCTGGCTAGCTCGTCTTTGAGCGACTCGGATAAACCAATGCAGAACTGGTGACGCAAGGCCGCATCATTCCATTGCTTGTCCCCCATCCAGCATCTAAAATCAGAGGCGTCTGGCCATGGAACAGCTGAGAAGCCAATTGTCCCATTACTTTTGGTCCCTTAACAAGTGGGAGGCACATATGCAAACTGTTGTAATTCCTACTCCGTTCACCTGATTTGGATGTAAATACCCTCAAATTAAAGCTGACAGTCTGCAGTTAAAGCACATCTTGTTCGTTTCATTTGAAATCCATTGTGGTGGTGTATAGAGCCAAAAATGTTAGAATTGTGTCGATGTCCCAATATTTATGGACCTGACTGTATATCAGTGGTGAGTCACATAAGTGTAATACAAGCTGGTGCGGTGGCGAGCACAAGCATTGTCCCACAGCCACAAAGAATTCGCACACAGACCCCTAATATCTTTCCGGATGTGCTTGCAAATCCTGATTGGCAGTCCACAAATTCTGAAACACCCGTAGTCCCCCATTCACTACAAAACCCAGAATTCAGGTGGAAACAGCAAATTTAACTACTCCCCTTGATTTTTTGGAGCTGTTTTTCATGGAAGATCTATATGCTTTGATTGTGGATCAAAGCAATTTATATGCGCAACAATTTATCACCACCAACCCAAATTCAAACCATGCCAGACCATTCGTATGGAAACTCATTACGGTTTCCAAATTTAAATTTTTTTTTAACCTAATCCTCAACATGGGCATTACTAAAAAAAATGAATTGCGGTTGTATTGGTCCACAGACCCGAATCTGCATATGCCCGTGTTCTTTGCTGCCATGGCAAGGCTTAGATATGAGAGTATAATGTGTTTTATGCATTTCAACGACAATACACTCTGTCCTCCTCGTGGTGACCCTGAATTGGACTGGCTACACAAAATTCAGCCCTTCACAAATCACCTTAACCAAAAATTTGCAGATGTCTATACTCCCCAGCAAAACATCTGCGTTGGTGAGTCCCTCATTAATTTTTCTGGCCGCCTTGCATTCAAACAATTTCTCCCCAGCACACATGCCAGATATGGGGTCAAGATGTGGAAGACCTGTGAGAAGGCAACAGGCCATACTTATAAGTTTTGGATTTATGAGGGAAAAGATAGTCACGTGGAGCCCCCCGGATGCCCAGAATACATGGGGAGCAGTGGCAAGATAATTTGGGACTTGGTGTCATCCTTTTTCCATATGGGGTACCACTGATATGTGGACAATTTTTATTCAAGCGTGCCACTATTTAGACATTTGTACAGTCGTGGAACTGGCACATGTTGCACAGTGTGACCTAATGTGTGCCCACCATTAGATGTGGGTGGATGCAGGGCAGTTGTCAGGAATGGACTTGCCAGTAATGGTGGGACTCACCTGCCTTGTGGGCTGCAGTACCAGGGCTGGCCAGCGGGTGCTCTCAGCAATCAGAGACTCAACCCTGTAGTCAGCCAAACACCTGAAGCTGATTATGCAGGTGTATTTAAGGGATGGCCAGACCTGTAGTCTGTGCCTTGGTGTGTGCTTTTCTATGGGCCCCTGTATCTTGTTACCTGCATTCCTGTTCCTGTTCCTGTCTGACTGATTCGTTGCTGACCCTGCCTGACCCGGACCTCTGCTGACTTCTCCTGTTTGATCCCTGGCTTGTGACCCCGACCACTCTCTGCCTGACCCCCTGTACCTACCTGCCCGTTAGTTGCTGTACCCGGCTCGTGACCTGACTACTCTCTGCTTGCTCCTCCTGTTCCTACCTGCCCGATTGTTATTGACCCGGCCTGCCTGACGACGCTTGCATTGTATGTATTGTTATCTGTGGGTGGTTTGGTTTGGTTCGTTTGCACTGTGTTATGTTTTAGTATTGCACTGCGTTTATGTATTGTTAGTGTTAATAAATTATATTGTTTATCACATATCTGAAGCCTGCGTTTCCCTGCGTCAGTTCACATACCTCTGGTCATACCCGGGAGCCCTGACATTACACCAGTGTTTCTCAACTCCAGTCCTCATGGACACCCAACAGGTCATGTTTTCAGGATTTCCCTCAGATGAAACAGCTGTGGTAATTACTAAGGCAGTGAAACTGATCAAATCACCTGTGCAAAATAATGGAAATCCTGAAAACATGACCTGTTGGGGGTCCATGAGGACTGGAGTTGAGAAACACTGCATTACACCAAGGCCAATCCTGACCAGAAGTGGCTGCACAGGGAAGCCATCTTGGCTTATTGTTGCTGGGAAGGATGGATCTTGATGAGGTTGTGTATTTATCTCTGCTAGTGTTTGTTGACAGAGAATATGCTTATCAGACTCTGAAGGAGTATACCAGGGATCAACTACTAGAATGTATACGGATCGCTCATGTTCTAGTAGATCAGGGCACAGAATTCTCTGAGGTGCAGCCATTGATTCAGGTTTGTGCTGAGTTGGTTTCATCTGGTACCCCCAAATGCAGGGATGAATTTTTGCTGCCATTTAGTGCCGACCAGGTAGAGTCCCTGGTATGGTTATTAGAGGATGATGTGGATTACTTTCTGGAGCGTTATTCTGCATGTTCACCACAGGTACTAAGAGATTGTATAAACACAGTGCAGTCTTTGACCAGACAGGCTTTGTGTAAGCGGAGCTTTGTTCAACCCCATACTGCAGACATGGTCAGACTTGTTGCACCCAGCCTCAGTCAGCTTACAACATCATTCCTCCACTCAAGGCACTCTTCCTGCATCCTCGACAGCACCCCCAGTGACTGCCCAGTATACTCTAACTACCACATACCAGTCCTCTGCTCCCACTCGCTGCACCTATCCTTTCTTTAACCCTGTAAAGAAGTCCTCTGTAGCAACTGCTCCCTCCTCTGTTCCATCTTCCAGCTCTTCTCTGTCCTCAGCTGCTCCATTCGTTTACAGACCTGCGTTTACTTGCAGTGCTCCAGTAGTTAAAACCAGAAAAAAGCGAAAATTCTTTCCAACCAGTACCATCCTGCCAGTATCCAAACCGGTGAGCCTGCCGTCTGAGAACCTGCCTTCCGTGGTTCAGCCTGGTGCCTCGGCACCCGCACTTCAGCCTGATGTCTCTACCCAGCCTGATGAACTGATCCAGCCTGATGATCCTATCACGCCTGATGACCCAGTGCCCGCTGTCATACCTGGTGACCCGATGCCCGCTGTCGAGCCAGACGATCCAATGCCTGATGACCCAGTGCCCGCTGTCATGCCTGGTGACCCGATGCCCGCTGTGGAGCCAGACGATCCGGTACCTGATGACCCGGTGCCCGCTGTCATGCCTGGTGACCCGATGCCAACTGTCGAGCCAGACGATCCAATGCCTGATGACCCAGTGCCCGCTGTCATACCTGGTGTCCCGATGCCCGCTGTCGAGCCAGACGATCCAATGCCTGATGACCCAGTGCCCGCTGTCATGCCTGGTGACCCGATGCCCGCTGTCGAGCCAGACGATCCGGTACCTGATGACCCGGTGACCGCTGTCGTGCCAATTGACTCAGAGCCCACTGTTGTGCCTGGTGACTTGGTGCCCACTGCCTTGCCAGATGACGCGGTGCCCGCTGTCGAGCCAAATGACCTGATGCCTGGTGACCCGATGCCCGCTGTCGAGCCAGACGATCCAATGTCTGACCCAGTGCCCGCGGTCATGCCTGGTGACTCGGAGCCCACTGTCGTGCCTGGTGACTCGGTGCTCACTGCCTTGCCAGATGACGCGGTGCCCACTGGCGAGCCAAATGACCTGATGCCTGGTGACCTGATGCCCGCTGTCGTGCCTGATGACCCGGTGCCTGCCGCTCCTCCTGGGGGCCCGGCGCCCGCCGCTCCTCATACCTGGTGACCCGATGCCTGCTGTCGAGCCAGACAATCCAATGCCTGATGACCCAGTGCCCGCTGTCATGCCTGGTGACCCGATGCCCGCTGTCGAGCCAGACGATCCAATGCCTGATGACCCAGTGCCCGCGGTCATGCCTGGTGACCCAATGCCCGCTGTCGAGCCAGACGATCCAGCGCCAGATGACCCGGTGCCTGCTGTCGAGCCAGACGATCCGGTACCTGATGACCCGGTGCCCGCTGTCGTGCCAATTGACTCAGAGCCCACTGTCGTGCCTGGTGACTGGCGAGCCAAATGACCTGATGCCTGGTGACCTGATGCCCGCTGTCGTGCCTGATGACCCGGCGCCTGCCGCTCCTCCTGGGGGCCTGGCGCCTGCCGCTCCTCCTGGGGGCCCGGCGCCTGCCGCTCCTCCTGGGGGCCCGGCGCCTGCCGCTCCTCCTGGGGGCCCTGTGCCTCTGCCCGGAGTCCAGCCCAGTGTGCCTCTGCCCGGAGTCCAGCCCGGTGTGCCGCTGCCCGGAGTCCAGCCCGGTGTGCCGCTGCCCGGAGTCCAGCCCGGTGTGCCGCTGCCCGGAGTCCAGCCCGGTGTGCCGCTGCCCGGAGTCCAGCCCGGTGTGCCGCTGCCCGGAGTCCAGCCCTGTGTGCCGCTGCCCGGAGTCCAGCCCGATGTGCCAGTCTTTGATATCCCGCCAGTTACCAGACTCAGGCGGTGGAACATTTTGCCCAGCTAGGACTGTTTGGAGCGTCCTGAGGCCGCTCCTTGAGGGGGGGTACTGTCAGGAATGGACTGGCCAGCAATGGTGGGACTCACCTGCCTTGTGGGCTGCAGTACCAGGGCTGGCCAGTGGGTGCTCTCAGCAATCAGAGACTCAACCCTGTAGTCAGCCAACACCTGAAGCTGATTATGCAGGTGTATTTAAGGGATGGCCAGACCTGCAGTCTGTGCCTTGGTGTGTGCTTTTCTATGGGCCCCTGTATCTTGTTACCTGCATTCCTGTTCCTGTTCCTGTCTGACTGATTCGTTGCTGACCCTGCCTGATCCGGACCTCTGCTGACTTCTCCTGTTTGATCCCTGGCTTGTGACCCCGACCACTCTCTGCCTGACCCCCTGTACCTACCTGCCCGTTAGTTGCTGTACCCGGCTCGTGACCTGACTACTCTCTGCCTGCTCCTCCTGTTCCTACCTGCCCGATTGTTATTGACCCGGCCTGCCTGACGACGCTTGCATTGTATGTATTGTTATCTGTGGGTGGTTTGGTTCGTTTGCACTGTGTTATGTTTTAGTATTGCACTGCGTTTATGTATTGTTAGTGTTAATAAATTATATTGTTTATCACATATCTGAAGCCTGCATTTCCCTGCGTCAGTTCACATACCTCTGGTCATACCCGGGAGCCCTGACAGCAGTATATTCTAATGGTGGGCATACCACACACTTTTTTCTGGCAGAGATTTCTTCTCTTTTTTTCATTCAGTCCACAGGCTGCATACAAAAAAAAAGAACATAGCATATATACCCAACAAGGATCAGGGATGTACTGGTACATCACTGGAATTTGAATGGTTATACCAGAATGATGTCTACAGCTGCAGGCATCATCCTGGTATAACTTTTTTTCAGCCGGTGATCGGCTTTCATGTAAAAGCAATCCTAGTGTCTAATTAGCTGCAGGATTGCTTTTACAAGCAGTGGGAGATGATGCCCCCCTCCCCCGCTGCCTTCCACGGCCTTCTCGGGCAGTCTAGTGCCATTGGGGTATGTTGAATCAATAGAAGAATTAATTTTTTTTACCACAAACTTTTGGAAAATGACAAAAAAAAAATTTTTTTTACACAAAATTGTCACTTACCTATCCTGAGTATGGGGGAACCACATGTGAGAGATGTTTTAGCAGTCTAGCCAAGTACAGGACCCCAAAATCCAATAAGCACCTCCAGGCTTTTAAGGGGCTTTATTTCCTCATTACACTTCCTTACTACCTATCACAGTTTCAGAGGCCCTGAAATGCCAGGATAGCACCAAACCCCCCCCCCTTCCCAAATTACCCCTTTTTGGAAAGTAGACACTCCAAGGAATTTGCTAAGAAGCATGGGGAGTATTTTGCAGATCTCATTTGTTGCCACAAGTTTTTGGAAAATTAAAAAAACAAACAAACATATTTTTCTTTTTTTTATATTTCAAAACCTTGTGAGAAAAAATGAGAACTGCAAAATACTCACCATGCCTCTTTTTAAATTCCTTGGGGTGTCTACTTTCCAAAAAGGGGTCATTTGGGGAGGTTTGGTGCTATCCTGCCATTTCAGGGCATCTGAAACTGTGATAGGTAGTGAGGAAGTGAAATGAGGAAGTTACGCACCTTCAGGCTTTCAAAGTGGTCATTGGATTTCAAGCTCCTGTATGTGGCTAGGCTCCCAAAATGTCTCACACATGTGGTATCGCCATACTCGGTAGAAGTAATAGAATGTATTTAGGGTGTAATTCCACATATACCCTTGGCTTGTGTGAGAAATATATAATTTAAATGACAACTTCGTGTAAAAAAAAAAAAATGTTTTTGTCATTTTCCAGAAACTTGTGGAAAAGAGAGCTTAGGGTGTCTAAAGTTCACACAAAGCAATCAATATACACTTATTAGGATTTTTTTTACCAAAAACATGTAGCAGAATACATTTTGGCCTAAATTTATAACTAACTTTGAGTTTACTATATATTTTTTTATAGCCGAAAGTAAAAAATATTGTTTTTCTTCCAAATTTTCGGTCTTTTTTTATAGCACGAAAAATAAAAAGTGCATGGGTGATCAAATACCACCGAAAGAAAGCTCTATTTGTGTGAAAAAAAAGGACGTAAATTTTGTTTGGGTACAGCATTGCATGACCATGCAATTATCAGTTGAATTAATTCAGCACCAAGTAGCAAAAAAAGGCCTGGTCATTATTATTTATTTATTTCAGGTACTTATATAGCGCTGTCAATTTACACAGAGCTTTACACACATATATATTGAACATTCACATCAGTCCCTAACCCTCAAGGGGTGTACAATCTAAGGTCCCTAACTCACATTCATACATACACATATTAGGGCCAATTTAGACAGGATCCAATTAACCTACCAGCATGTCTTTGGAGTGTGGGAGAAAACCTGAGCACCCGGAGGAAACCCACGCAAGCACAGGGAGAACATGCAAACTCCATGCAGGAAGCGCCATGGTCGAGAATCGAACCCATGACCCATTTACTGCAAGGCAGACGTGCTAACCACTAAGCCACTGTGCCACCCATTAAGGGGGGTAAATCCTCTGGAGGGCAAGTGGTTAATAGCAAAAAAAAAGTCAAAAATATTGTTTTTTTCTCAAAATATAGCGCAAAAAAATAAAAACCGCACATACGATCAAATACCACTGAAAGGAAGCTCAATTTGTGGGAAAAAAGGAAGTAAATTTCATTTGAGTGCAGCATTGCATGACTGCGCAATTGTCAGTTAAAGTAACACAGCGCCGTGACACAAAAAATGGCCTGGTCAGGAGGGGGAGTAAATTCTCAGGAGGGCAAGTGGGTAAGTGACAACTTTGTGTAAACAAAAAACATTTTTTTTGTAATTTTCCAAAAACCTGTGATAAAAAAAAAACCCAAATTATCCATTGACTCAACATGGCTCTCAACAATGAGTTTAAGGTGTCTACTTTTCAAAAAGGGTTAATTTTTTTTTGGGGGGGGGGGGGTTTACTATCCTGGGATTTCAGAGCTTCTGAAACTGATAATTAGTGAGGAAATGAAATGAGGAATTTACGAACCATCAGACTTTCAAAGGGGGTCATTGAATTTCAGGCTCCTGTATGTGGCTAGACTGTCAAAGTGTCTCACACATGTGGTATCCCTATACTCGGGAGAAGTAGAAGAATGTATTCTGGAGTGTAATTCCACATATACCCATGGCTTGTGTGAGAAATAAATCATTTAAATGACAACTTTGTGTAAAAAAAAAAAAGTTTTTGTCATTTTCCAGAAACTTGCGGAAAAAAAAAAATCTTCCATGGACTCAATATGCCTCTCAGCAGATAGCTTAGGGTGTCTAATTTCCGAAAGGGGTCATTTGAGGGTGTTTGTACTATCCTGATATTTTAGCACCTCAAGAAATGTGATGGGCAGTCAGAAAGTAAAAGCGGCATTGCATGACCGCACAATTATCAGTTCCACATATACCCATGACTTGAGTTGAGCAATATATCATTTCAATGACAACTTTGTGTAAAGGAAAAAAAATTTAATTTCCCAAAAACTTGTAAAAAGTTGGCTCAGCATGCCTCCTAGCAAAATAGTTTATGGTGTCTACTTTACAAAAAGGGGTCAGTTGGCGGGGGAGGGGGTGCTATCCTGGCATTTCATGCCCAACATTAGAAGCTTCTGCCACGCATCACCCACTCCTCTAACCACTTGAAGACCAAGCCATTTTTGACACTCTTTGTTCACATGAAAAAAAAACAGTATTTTTAGCTAGAAAGATACTTTGTACCTCCAAGCATTATATATTTTTTAAAGCAGACTCCCTAGAAAATAAAATGTTGGGTGTTGCAATTTTTTATGTCATAGCACATACGCAGCAACTTTTTCAAATGCAAATTGTTTGGAACAAATACACTTTTTTTAAATTTTAATACACAAAAAACACAATATATTGGCCAATTGTTTGGTACAATATAAAAGATGATGTTATGCCAAATAAATACATACCAAACATGACATGCTTTAAAACATACCAAACTACATACATTTGTAATATCCATAGGCAATCTTTTAGAAGCCTTTACAGGCTACTACTTTAGATTTACAGAGCAGGTCTTGTGCTATAATTACTGCCCTCAATCTGATGTTCGCGGCCATACCTCATATAGATGGTGCAACTGCTGTTTACATACCAACATGGGGCCGACACGCATGCACACCTTTGCGCTTGAGCGCAGTAGGACAGGGTGCTTTAATTTTTTTTTAATTATTTATTTTGCCTTTTTATTTTTCAATTTTGATCACTTTTTTTTGGTATCACAGGGAATGTAAATATCCCCTATGATAGCAATAGGCAGTGACAGTTCTCTTTTCTGGGATCTATTAGATCTCTCCTATGCCCATAAACCATCTGATCACACCAAGGTTAGTGTGATCAGATGCTTTCCTATTTTGAAAACAGCACTGTTTATATTCAACAAAACCAAAGTGATGAAATGCTCGTAGCTTCCGGTTTCTTAGACCATAGTCTGATCAGCTATATGGTCAGCAGGCAGAACCACTGGCTACATTCTCTTGTTCCCCGGTGGGATGCGAGAGCCCGAGAAAGCCATAGAAGGCGACG